CGAAGCCCAGGAGGGGGGAAGCTGTGGGTGGATAAAGGCAGGGGCAGTGAGGGCGTCGGGGGCCGGTGGGTGAGCTGCGCGGACGAGGAGGAGGCAGATGAGGAGGAAGAGGACGAAGAGGATGATGAGGGGGGAGGTTGAGCCACGGGAGGGGCCGGGGCCTTGGGGGGCGGCCGTGAAGAGCTGGGGAGAGAAGTGGGGAGATGAGTGAGGGGCTAGGAGGTGCCAGCTCTGACGGGAGGGGGTCAGAAGCCTGGGATATACCTTGACCCTGGTTCTCCAACATGGAAAGTGGTAGAACCTGGCCCCCAGGACCCCTACCCCCAACCCAGGGAACCCATCCTCAGACGGAGGTACCTCCCACACCCAACAACCCCCCCACCTCCTGTCTCTTCTTCCACACAGATGCTTCTGACGCCCCTGGTCTTTCCCTTTTCTGACTCAATCACAGCACAAAACATATCATTCACTTTGACGCTTAATTACAACAGGCCACCTGGGTTCCCACCCGAAGACAGTGGAAGCAGCACTGCGCTGGTCTGGTGTAGGAGTCAGGAGGCCTGAATTCTAGGCCCATCTTGCCATTAACACCCTGGGTGACCTTGAGCAAGTCACTGCCTCTCTCTGAGCCTTAGTTTTCTCAATAAGGGAGAAAATGATAATGATGATAACAGTAACAACAAAAATTGCATCAATCATAGAAGTGTCATTAATTCTTACCCTTTAGTGAGCACTGAGTGTATGCCAAGTGCTGTCATCTGCGTTATATGCTAATCCAAGTCCCCAACATTCCACATCACCTTCCCAACTGCTGCTGTATCCCTGGGACCCCTTGTACCATTTGCTTCTTTAAACTTAACTCAGTTTGTTTTTCACTTGGCCTCACCAAAGAGCAATGTGTAAAATTAAGGGGCTGAGGTACTACTTGTATGTTTTTTTAAAACACATCAAAGCTGAAAAAATTTTACTCATGTACCAGCTGAATTCTCTCACACACCACTAACAAAAGAGTACACACTTTGGGAAACACTGCATTAACTCATAATTAATCCTCACAACAGCTTTAAAATGAAAGTACTATTATTATTTCACTTCACAAAAAGAAGAAATTAAGGCTCAGAGAGTTTAAGTGACTTGTCAAAAATCACACAGCCATTAAGTGGCAGAGTAAGAATTTGAATCCAGGTCTGAATGACACCAAAGTCAGCACTCTTAGTCATCATGTCAGCATTTCCCAAAGTATGTTCCAAACAACACTATTCCTAAGAAATGTGCCTTGCCAAAAAAAAAAAAAAACCAACTTGGGAAATAAAATTGGGAAACGGCACAAACTGGATTCCTCTGCAAGTGAACGTATGAAGGGTTCTGAGAAGTCCTGTAGTAATCTCTTTAAATTTGTCCCACAGTATCTCTCCAACTTTTTAGCCCCCCAAACCCTTTTCAAGTGATATCCCACAGGAACCAGCCCATGTCCCCAGACACAGAATGCAGGGGTTGGCACAAAAATGACCAGGCCTTTCCAGACCCGGCCAGACCCCCCACTCACTCACCTGCCAGTGCTGAGGTCCAGGCTGCTGCCATAGGGGGAAGTGCGGAGGCCAAAAGGCGAAACCCGAAGCTGCAGCTGGGGCTGGGGTGGGGGTGGCAGACTGGGGGCGGCCGGCAGGGGTGCAGGGGGTGAGACAGGAGGCCGAGGGGCCGGTGGAGGCGGTGGTTCCTTTGGGGGGAAAGGCACTAGCAGCGGGTCGGGCCCTGGGGGCTGTTCCTGGCTCCGCTCCAGGCCCGACACTTTAGGGACTACGGAGAGTTTGGCTTCACAGTTCCCATTGAAGGCGCCGTGGGGGCCCGAGGCTGTGAGGGCAGGACGGCAGACATACTCAGTTAAGGATCATGCTCACCCAGTTTCCCTCCCTTGTTTCCAACCCCAGCCCTTGGGACCAACCTTTGCTGGTTGAGACAGTAAAGGACGGGTCGAGGTCATCATCGGAGACCTGGGGAAGAAGGACAGGGACACAGTCAGGTTCTGGTCAAGTCAGGCCTTCACCCAGGAAGGCCAACAGCCTCTGGAGTTGGCTAGGCACTGGTAGTGGTGACAAGTCTATTCCATCAGCTTAGCTGAAATCCACCAAAGACTGTGGGCTCTAGGAGGCCCTATGCTCGGGGAAAAGGGTAGGGCGACTAAGCCTGCGCATCTGATAGGCCAGGAAGACTGAATTGAGGCAGTACTGAAGTTAACAGAGAAACAGGCAATTCACGGCAAAAATGTCAGATATCACTAATTGCTGGTCCAGACTGTCTACTGGGCTTATAAATATGTCTGGTCCATAAATGTCAGCAAAAGTTTTAAACTAACTGCGAATACTTAGAAATCTGGAGGTTCTTCATAAAAACTCAAGATTCAGGTTCTCTTGACAATGGGCTCCCACTCTCCTAATAGTGCCCGATCAGATGGACAAGGGCTATTTGCTTCACCACAGAAGTCCCTGTCCAGTCAACTTTTTATACTATAGCAAGACACACATCAGAGAATACACGTTTAGTTACTGACAGGAGAAGAGCATCAACTGCTAGAACACACTTTCAAAGCTAGCACATCAGCTCTAAGAACAAAATGAAACACACCTTTATAGCATATGTTCTTACACTGTGTACAACAGTTTAGCGTCCTCACTGCCGTGACTATGGTCTACAGACTCTAATCTATAGGAGCAGACTCTAATCTATAGGAGCAGACTAATAACCAGCAGGAAGAACCAACTGGGTTCCATAGCCACCCTGGGTTTCCGTGGAGAACCACTGGTATCTCCAAGCGCTTTGGAAAGGATAGCACAGCAAGGCATAGGTCTTTGATTCTTTGGTCAATTGGCTCCAATTACCAAATAAAACTTGTCATTTACTTTCTCAATCCCCGCCCCCACCCTGCCCACCTGCCCCAGGCATCCTCCCCAAAAATCTATTTCTGGCTCAACTTAACTCACCTTCCCCACTTAAGGGAAGGCTCTATCTGCTGCACAAGGAGACCTTTAAGGCACAGTTCATTTTTTTTTTTTGGCACAGTTCATTTTATGAGCTGTACTACTGCCCACCCAACAAGTTCTAGCCCCACTCACCCTCTCGTCCAGATCACTTTCTGCATCACACTGGGGAGAAGGAAAGACAGAGGTGTCACAACAGGGAAGAGAAGGGGGGCCCAAGGTCAAGGGGAGTTTCAGACAGGGAGTGAACGGGGAGGGGCCTGTACAGGTGGAGAGCACTTACTATGTATCCAGCTTCCAGAGAATGACGGGAGGAGGCCTGAGAAAGACCAGAGTCCAGAGGTAAGGGAGGCCGGCTGGCAGGCCTTTGGATTAGTCTAAGCTCCCTGGCAAGGCGCCGAAGGCCCCTCACGACATACTCTCTGTCTCCTTCTGGTCCCCACCCAGTCCCCACTGCTCTGGCAACTTTTCAAATCTACCAGATTCTCACAACTCTGCGCTTTTGCCCAAAACAACTTAGCCCTATTTCTCTTCTCAGCAAACTTATGACTATCCTTCAAGGCCTGACTAAGACATCCCAGGGGGCTTTCCCTAACCACAACCCTCCTCCCATCCCCCAGGCAGAATGAGTGGCTTCCTCATGTGGGTTTCTGCAGCATCTCTCCCAGATCTCTACCTTCTGGTGCCTCTTAAGTTTTGGTCTAGATGTTTGCTTAAAGATTATTCTTTCCTACTAGACTAACATTGACTTGAAAATGGGTGCAGAGACCATATCTAATTTATGATTCAACTATGTCCTTTTGATACATCTCTGAATTATCATTATGTTCGAGGCAGACCCAGTATCAGCCAAAAGCGGGCAAGTCTGACTGTGGATGTGTCTTTATCAGTCCGGGATAGGGCAGTGGGAGCTCAAATATGCTCTGCCTTTCTCTTTGTCCTTAGAGACTGGGGTCACTTCACCACGGGTAGCGGCACTGCTGACAGAAAACGGGTCTATGTGAAGAACATTCGGCTCACAGAGTTTTAAAGGACAGGGATCTGGGACAAGCTCACCTCTTTCCTTCTCCGCTTATTGGGCCATTTTCGGGCCCGATCCCCAGAGGGCCGGCCAGGCTCTCGATCAGAGCTGTCCCCTGGTTCCCCAGTTGCCCCACTGGAGCCCCCCCTCTTCCGCTTCCCAGAATGCTTCATCCGATGTTCCAGTCGCTCTGGGGGCTGAAGAGACGCATCCTTCTGTGGAGGAGGAGGTGGGACTAAAGTACATGGTGGAGAAAGGAAAGCTCCCCACCTCTCTGGGGGTGACCAAGCTACCAAAGTGGCTCTCGGGCCCGGTAACCTGGTTGGTCCCTGGAGACTAGCTCTACCTCCTCCCACCCCAGGGTGGGGCAGAGGCCTGGCCAGAGGAGCCGGTTGCTCTGGTTTGGGGTGCCAGCATTCCCCCCTCAACTCCACCCACTCCAGGCACCGTACCCTTCTCTCTGGCCCTCTGAAGCCCCTCAAGGGTCCCTGGCCCCAACAGGCCCCACCTGCAAGGCCTCGAGGCTGGCGAAGCTGGCAATGGCGAAGCCATCGATCAAGTCCTCCTCCTCTTCTTCCTCCTCCTCAGGCTCTTCCTCGGCCTCCCCATCGTCTGCGCCCCCCTCCTCCTCCTCCTCGTCTTCTTCCCCGCGGCTGCCCGAGCCAGCAGGCCGCTTCCGAGCTCGGGGTCGCGGGGGCCGAGGCCTGGGACGCGGCCGCCGCCGTCTCGGGCCTCCGGGCCGCTCTCCAGACGAAGCTGACGACCACGGCCTGGCGGGCGGCGGCGGCGACGACGAGGACGAGGAGCCGCGCGGGGCGGCCAACAGCGTCCGGGGCGCGTCGCCGCCGGGACCTCGGCGGCGCCGCTGCTCCCGGTCTCGGTCTCGGCGCGAGCAGCGCCTCCGCCGCCGCTCCCCCTCAGTGGCCCAGCCCGGGCCCGGAGCCGCGGCCGCTGCCGTCTCCATGGCGACCGCCCTCAGCGCCGCATCCGGAGGCGGCGGGCCCCGGAGCGGCCTGTCCGCAGGCCAGGGGTCGCAGGCGCGGCGCTGGCGGCTGCACAGGGAAGAGAGGGCCACGGCTTTCCCTTTAAAGCAGGATCTGCTCGCCCCGAGCGTGCCCCAAGGCCAAGGCCCAGGGAGCCGGCGCCGCCCCCGGGGCGACAAGCCCGAGAGCCCCCCCTGTGGGGCCGGCGGGGCCGAGACAGCAAAAACGGGGCGGCCGTCCCTTTAAGGCAAGGCCTCAAGTTGTCCAGTCCCTGACTCCTTTAAGACGACCCGACGGTGTCCGACCGGCCTAGTTCGGTGGCCGCCCCCTACCAGGGGTCGAGACAAGTCTCCCCGAGGAAGAGGAAAGGCCACCCCTTTAAAAGGGGCCGAAAGCTCGCCCCGAAACGTCGACCTCCCCTTTAAAAGTGCCTCAAGTCCTCCGGCTAAAAAAGGCCACCCCTTTAAGGAGTCCAGGGTTCTCCAAACAGCAGGCCGCCCCTTTAAGGGCTCGGGAGTTAGTTTCTAGTCCTCCACAAACGGCCACTTCCCCTTTAAGTTGAATTTAAAGGACTTCTTGCGTTGAGAAGTGGCGATGAGAATCCCCTACTCGCTCCAATTCTCCCAACAGCACAGTTCTCAATTTGTCAGCGTCTGTTCGGTGGCTTCCCCTTTAAAGGCTGGCGTTGTAGTCCGCCGAGATCGGTGGCCACCCCTTTAAGGAGATTTAAAGGGGCCTCTTCAAGGCCCAGCTCTTCCAGCCTCCGCCTCCGGTCGCCATGAAAGGCGCGAGGTGGGGGGCGGGGCCGAGGGGGCCACCCCTCCAAAGCCCCGGATGTGAGGCAACGGTGACGGGTAGAGCTTGTCTGTCTGCCGACATAAAAGTCTCTTCCTTCTTTCCTCCGTCTCTGTCTGACGTTCGCCTTAAAGAATCCGGAACGGCTGCTGGGCAGCTGGGGAGCTCCAGCTCACCCTCCTGTCGTCTCTTTTGGAGTCTTCGGCCTCTCCTCCGCCAGGACTTCCCTGCCCCTCCTCCCTCTTCCTCCTCAGCCTACGCCTCCTTCCTCTCTCTGTCTCCTCCCACTTTCCGCCCCCTACCCCTCACCCCTCTACAGGCTTAGCCGTTGATAGGCTGAGAAGTGTACGTCAAGTTTAAGGGGCGGAGTCAAATGCGGGAGGGAGGGAGTGAGTAATATGTAACCGCCCTCAAATCTTGGATTTGGTATACGTCAGATTAGCTCCGCCCCTCATCAAGTCTTGTGACTCAACTGGTTAGAAGTAGGTACTTGGGGCGGTCCTCCAGGTGACCCCGCCTCTTCCTGCTCTTCGTTTATTGGCTACTCTCCTGACGGCGTCTAGCCGAGGATCTGGATCTAGTGTGCGAGTCGTTGGGGGCAGTTGGCCGCTGGGTGGCGCGCGGCCGCGGAAGGACACTGTCGACTGTCAGTTATGTCTTCTCTCCCTTTCTGCCACTTGGCTTAGTCCACAGGCTGTCTAGCTTCTCGCGCACGCGCGTGATGCTACAACCATCCGGCTGGCAGCTCAGCGGGATCCCCCGCCGTGCCGGGTGGTTAGAGCACGCGGCTTGAGAGTGCCAGCCATAAAGGAAGCTTTCGCGTCCCGTTACTGCTCGGTGCAGTAGGAGTGCTGGCCTGGGGTCTGCGTGCTAACAAGAAAAAAACAGTTTGCTTTGTGTGCCGGACAGCTTCTCACATAGAAACTCACTTGACAGAAGTCTCCTGGAAGGTACTACCATCAGCCCTATCTTACAGGCGAGGGGAACTGATACACTTTCAGTTTCCCAAGCAGATTTACTCAGGAAGCTTAGCTCCAGTCTGTATTCCTGGCCACTATTCTACCTTTAAGTTATGAAAGATGTAGTGTGCCGCTTGTTCTCTGGTTGCCTAGGTTTCCCTTTTAATGTGGACATTACACTGACAGCTTGCTTTCTCATGTATAAAATGGGTGTAATTCTCATAGGGCTATTTGTAGGTCAAGTACCTGTGACAGGTTTTTGTAGGTGCTTAATTTTAACTGATTATTATTAGTTCTTGAGTCCAACAACACATTCTTGGCCTGTGTGTTAGAAGGAACTCAGAGCTATCTAGAACAGGGCCTTAGTCCACTCTAGGACTTTCAGCCTCCTTTTTTCTTTGGCTGTGCCACGCAGTGTGCGGGCTCTTAGTCCTTCAACCAGGAATGGAACCTGCAGCCCCTGCAGTGGAAACATGGAGTGCTAACCCCTGGATCACCAGGGCATTCCCTCAGTCCCTGACCAGGGTCCCGAATCACAGTATCTTCTGGAGCAGATTCATAAGTATCCCTCTGCATAGGAAAATTCTCAACCCAAGAAGGTATATCCAATGACCATTCTTCTACCCTGTTCCCTATATCCCACTTCATGGTCTTTCCTGGTGCCACCCTCATTTCCCAGTTTTGCAGGCCAAAGTAGAAACATCAGCCAGTACTGGCAGTGAATCTCAAACTCTGCTACAGACATACAGAAGAATCAGAAACATATCGAAAACTTTACTAGAAATATAGAGAAAAAATTATAACTGCCTCAGAGACTCCTCCCCCATCCCCCGAGGACGCATGGACAGACAAACAGATGGAGCTTCTAAGTCCGATGGGGCCGATCTTGATCCCCTTCCTCCTCCTCCTCCAGGAGTGAGGCATCCAGCTCCTGGAGTCGCTGTTGCAGCAGGGGTTCTACATCTGGGCTGGGGGCCAGATTGGGAGGAAGGGTCCTGCCAGCTGTAGCCCGGGCCCCGCGAGATGGCCGCCGGGATCGAGGAAGACTGCTGTCCCGAAATTCTACAGTCCGCCGGAGCTTCCTTGAGCTGGTGAAAATCAGAGTCCCATTGCGCTCCCGAGGTTCCTCAAAGATGGTTTCAAAGGTCCTGGACCAGGCAGGGAGGAGTCCAGGTTACCAGCACGCCCCCTGATTCCAGTTTTCCCTCTGTCACCCCTAAGCCTTCAAAGTTTCTCACCTCCTGGTTGTGGGTGACTGGTAATTCTTGTTGGTGTAAATTTCTTCCAAGCTGAACTCCTTCTTGTTCAACCTACGAGCCAAGAGCAGAGGTCACTGAGAAACCTGGGGCCAGTGGGCCTGGAGAAGGGATAAATAAGGCCTGGTCTATATTTCAGTTTCTAGGATCTGCCAGGAGTGCTGCCTGAGGCAGACAGATGGTTCTACATGCAAACCACATCCATATCAAACGGACTCCTCCAAGCTGGACCGAGAGGAAGCAGAGCCACACTCGGGACCTGAGCCTACACCTGCTTCAGATCCATGTACAACAAGCTTCTCACCTGACTGGCCGAGGCAGCCCCATTGGTGTGAGGTTTATTTGAGAACGGGCCGGTGTCCTGCGTATTCTGAATCGAGAAACCTTCCCAATGGTCTGCAGAGATGGGGCAGAGGGTAAAAAGTCCACAAGCGTGGACTTAGGCTCCCGCTTGTCTCCTCCCTGTTCACCTGCACCCCTACCTTGGTCTCGGGGTCTGAAAGCACCTGGTCTTCTGGGGCCCTTGGCTCCTTTCTCTTGGTTGAGCTCAACCTGTAGAGAAGGTCAAGGCTCAGAGCCAAACAACATTCCCAGCTACCTCCCCCTCTCCTGCCCACTGGATACTAGGGTAGGAGGCTGGGCCCCCTCCTGTGACCAGAGCTTTAAGGAGGGTTTATCAAGAGCACTACCTGGGTTCTGCAGGTTCAGAGAAGGAAGAGGTGGATGCAGTAGACGAGCAAGATGTGACGAGGGGAGGAGAGCCTCCCACTCCTCCAAGAGGGAAGACCTCTTTCCGGAGACAGGGCCGAGGGGGTGGTGGGGCTTTGGCCATCTCTCCACCACCCACCGTGTGCCGCCGAGGCCGTGGCCGGCTTGGGGGGGCTGGAACAGGGGGCCAGCTGCAGGGATCTGGGCCAGGGGGCCCCAGGTCAGGGCAGGAGTGGCTTCGGCCCAGAGAGGGCTTAGTGAGAGGTGCTGGGGGGTTCTGGTCTTGGGTCCGCCATTGGCGGATAGGGGGCCGGGGACTGACTGCCACAGTGCCCTCAGCAGCCCCGGACTGCCCGGCCTCTGAGATGGCAATCTTCAACTCCAACTTCATGGGGGGTGATGGGGGCGGGGGCCGCGGGGCTTTGTTGGGTGTGAGGAAGATGTCAGCAAAGCTCTCCAGCTTGGAGCGGACGGAATGGAAGAGGGGGGCCAAGCCCCAGGGACTGAGGCGGGGGCGTAAAAGGCTGGACGGCGGTGGGGTCGATGGGGGCTCCAGAACAGGATCTGGGGCTGAGGAAAGGAGAGGGTCAGGTGCGTATTCCTCAGCTGCAGGTGTCTAAGCCCCACTTCAGTAGCCTTAGTCCCTCCCCCAAACACTAACCTTTGCCCCCTGAGGAATAAGCCTAGCCCTAGAATACCCAGCCTTAAGTTCAGAAGTTAAGCTTTAGGTCTCTGAAGTCTAAAAATCCATCTTCACACACCAAGCTCCGCCCTGAGAGGGGGGTTAAGCCCCATCCCTACCTCTGCACCTGACACTTCTAAGCTCAGCTAGAATTTTCCAGAACCCTCCTCCTCATCCATCTGAGTCCTTACCTGGTGGTGGGCTCGCCAGAGGGTTTGCAGACAGGGCAGATGGATGGGATGGGGCTGGCAGGTCCTTGGACGGAGGCTTTGGCTGGTGAACCATCACCTTGGGCTCAGCTCTGGGGTGAAGGGGCAAGTTAAAGACAGAGGAACCTTTCAGATTCAGATCCCACCTGAGCCAGGACCTCCCCTGTCCCTTAATGCTTCTGAAGGTGCTACAAGGAAGCACTGGACATGTAAAGTCTGATGCTCCTAGCTTTGGCTGCCTGGATAAGAGCTGCCACCTACACATCTTCATAATCCCTTCCCAGCCCTCTCACCTTCTCGCTGGGACGATGAAGTTGGGAGCCTCATCAGCAAAGCCCTGGATGTAAACAGGGGGTGTTTATGGGGAGGCAGGGAAGCCCCCTGTGGCCTCCGTAGCTCCCCTATCCCGACTCTGTCAGTCTCCAGACACCTGCCTGGGTTCACACTAAAGACTTTTTCATGTAGGTCTTTGCTCAGGCAGCGTCTTCCAATCTAAAATGCCATCCTCCTTGCTCTGAGCAAAATCCACCCCAGACAGTCCTCCCACAACTTTCTTCTGTGCCCAGTAGCATGCCTGCCCCCAGCTGAACCCCTGACATCTTTCCCTGAAGTTCCCATACCTCAGCTCGGGGTCTGGAGCTGGCAATGTCCTGCAGCATCACCACCAGGGTGGGCTGGTGCACCTGGTCTACTTGTTGTGAGGGGCCCTCCTCTGGGCCAGGTGTTGTCCTCGATCGCCGCCTTGGGGTGGAGGGGGGCCGATGAACACGGCTCAAGGGCTCTCGACATAGGTGCAGTGGGTCGGGAAGCCTGAGAGGGAAACAGGAAGATCAGTGGGACTCAGCTGTGTTCCCAGCTCCTCACCCCCATTCTGCCATGCTCACCTGGCTTGTGGGGACCATGTGGCCTGCCGGGGTGGTGAGGCAGGTGGCTGGCTGTGAACAGAATCCCGACGGTTGCTGTGGTGCTGTGGGGTTGAACTCTCTTCTTGGGGCGCCAGGGGGACCTCAGAGAGGAAGAGGTGTCAAGAGGAAGGTGATGGAATGAGGCTGGACCATACAGGGCCTCCCTATGCCTAACAGTGCCCTATGCCATCAAGATGACAGAAATAGTGGCTAGAATTCATTTGCAGTCCCCAAAGAAGAGGTCAGTTATGGCCCGAGCTGTTTGGTATGGGGACTGGGTAATGTCACCCAGGCTATTTGTGTAAATGAAAAGGAGAGGGTGACCTGGAGTGAGTCATTGCCCTAGTTGGGGCCTCAGTTTTTCTAATCTGTGCAGTGGAGCCAAAGACCTCAGCCTGCTTCCTATGGACTGCCTAGAAATTGGGCTGGGGAGAAAGTAGGGGAGTTTCTCACACTTAAGAATTGTGGGGGAAAAAAAAGAATTGTGGGGATGTGGTTTTGGCACCAGAGACCCTGACCAATTCCAGGTTGGAGTAAGTGAAAGCCAAGCCAAAAAATAAAAAAAGCATTACGGAGGCTGAGTGATGGATGAGTGTGAGAATGAGGTGTTTGGACCTCAGTGATCTTCACTAGTGACCTAGTTTGACTTTACTACTGAGGGGACCTGATGAAGAAGGGGGCCTCTCAATTCAAGAGGCTCACCATGCGGGCAGCCATGACATCTTCCAGGACCACGGCCAGGACCCGCCGAGAGGCTTTTTCCAAGGGCGAAGGGGCCCCGAGAGGCTGCAGTTTCGGCCGTTTTGGGCTCTTGGCTCCCCATAATGCTCCAGCAAGGGGTTGGCGGCATAGACGCTGCCGGCCAGGAGTGCTGAAGGATGAGAGAAGCAGAGGACGGTCGCCTGAGCCTGTTGTTGGCCCTGTGGTTTCCCCGGTACGGCCACCAGGCTCCCCGTTTCCCGGGCTCAAGACAGGCGGGCGGGGTGCGCTCTCACCTGGAGTCCCCGGGCAAGTCCATGGGGGAAGCGGCGGCTCCGGGGAGTCCCTGGGGGATCCCAGGTTCCAGCCTGGGGTAGGGGGGGGAGCGGGGGAGCGGGGAGTGAGGGCCAGCCCCTCCCGTGGGGCTCCACCCTTCATGGTCCGCCCGCGGCTCCCGGTAGCCCACGGTTCGGAGCCCTGGGGCGCATAAGGGCGCCCTCGCCTGGCTACCGGTAACGGGTGTCTCCCCTCTGCCGCCGCGGCGATCAGCGATCGCCCTGCCTGAGCCGCGAGAATATGGGTTGCAGCGGTCCCAGTTCTCCCACGGCCCGAGCTTCCTGGGGCCTTTGTCCCTGCAGATTCCGCCCTGAGATCCCCAAGATCAGCTGGGATCCCAGTCCTCGGAGGCTCAGTTTCCGCCGGATCTCTCCACCGGGAGTGGCCGAGGACTCCGAGGCAATACTCGCACACGCCGGCGGCCTTCCCTCCCACCTGATCCCCTAGACTGGATCCCCGCGGACACAATGCTCCAGCGCGGTTCCTCCAAACAGACGCCGCGCGAGGATCCTCCTCTCCCTGTGAGCTTCGGCTCCGCAAAGCTACACTCAGAGGCGGCCCGAGCTTGAGCATCACGAACTCAGTCCGGATCCCCGGGGATCCACGGTCAAGCAGATACCCCCTTCACTCCAATCCCGGGAGGTCCCGCCCACAGACCCCCTCCCTCCGCCCTCCCCTGATCCCCGCCCAGCGCTCTCCCCAGCCCGGGTCCAGATGGTTCAAAAGTTTCTTTCCCTCCCTCCCTCCCTCCCTCCCGCCCTCTCTCCAGCCGCTCGGTGCCCTCCCCCGCGCGCCGCTCACCGCCGCCTCCCGCAGATCCCGGGTCTTCGACGGCTCCCACCTCCGGCTCCTTTAAAACTAGCCTTACCCAGCACTGCCCAACCGCCGAAGGCCTTCTTCTCGGAGCCTCTGGGCACCGCCCAATCGCCGGTCCCGGTCTTCCGGGGTGGTGAGAAACTTAAGTGAAGCCGCCTGGCGGCCATCATGCCTAGGGATAAGAAGTCAATTGGGCACTGCCGCCATTATAGTTGAGGGCAGATTGTGCTGTCCTCGATGAACTTAAAGTGGACCGGAGGGCGTCTTCTTTTCTGGCCGGTGGGTGGCCGGAGTCTAGGGCAAGTTTCTTGAGCTACTGAGGCAACTCTGGTGAAGCTAGGCTACCGCCACGTTTTTTAAGGGCATCTTCCGGTTCTTTCGTTCTTAGACCAATAAACGTGAACTGAGTGCTAACGATATGTGAAATTCCCAGTTTCCTAGAGAGGCCCCATTGAGTCGGTTTCCAGTTCCATTCTAGGTTCCTGAGTCGTTACCAGGTTGCCAGGGAAAAGTTTGGCAGGGGGTGGTCGGGGCCAGAGATTAGCGCTGGTGCCGACTCAGGCTTCTTTGCTCGCACGATGTCCTGGAGAGACTGAGCTGAGTCAAAGTGAGGAGGCGGCTGGGGCGTTCACTTCACCCGACTGTTGTGTACCTCTTCCTGCAGGAGAGGTTTCTATAGAGGACGGGCTCCCACGAGCATTCTGAAGAGGAGCCTGGCTGATAGGGCGTGTAACTAATCCTTAGTAGTAAGGGATCAGGGATCCTGCTGTTTAGAGAGACTGCGTCGTGAAACTTTTAAACCAGGAGCCTGCTGTTGGGGGTAGGTAATGGGCTTGTACTGGCTTCTGGACTGTGAACGCGCCCTCACTGCTTTACCAAAGCCCATGCCTCCACTAGTTCTCTTTCCCCAGGATTCGCTGGTACAAACTAGTACTTATTTTTCCTGATATAACAAAAAAGACTAAAGTCTAAAATCGTGTCTGAATGAAGATGAAGAGTGACCTACTCGGCCCAACATAATTCTCTTCTATGGAATTGAGTGATAAGAGTAATGACCCAGAAAGGATGATATAAAAAGAGCAGCACTGGAAAGCCTTGGTGTGGAACGTGAAGACTCCCCAACTCTGTAACGAAAGACTCAACCAGATAGGTGTCCTAGGACTACAGCGACTCTCTCTAGTACGAGGCCGGCTGGGTCCTCTGGAAATCCATCATGAGACTTCTGGTGAGAATAAGCAACAACTGGTTCAGCTAGAAGTGTTCTCTCTTCCCCTGGAGCAGGGCTGGCTACACAGGTGCATGAGGAGGGTCCCTGTTGGTATGGCGATGCTTCCAGCTGTAAGTGGAGATCCCTCTTCATCTTGGTAAATTGAGAGGCCCCCTGTAGGCTTTCACTTGCCTGCTTAAACACAGAGGTTATTTCCCAGACTGCAGGTTAATGAAACGCTTTCAAGGGCAGAGCAAACCTGATCTGTGTTTTGATTCTCTTAAGTCTGCTGAAGAAGTCAATGCCAAGCGTAAAGGAAGTAGCCTAAAGAAAGGGCCTGGTTTCTGAGAATCTGGTTGGGAAGGGCTTGGCCCTCAACCCAGGCCAGCGGTGATGAGCCTTGGTACCCTCACAGTCCTGCCTCACCCCTCTTTGTGACTACTGTTTCAACAACTCTTACCTTATCCACTACCTGTGTACATACCCCAGACAAGGCCAGTGTGTGCTGATCGGTGATCAGAGGCCCCTCCCAGCTTTCAGTGGAGCAGGTGATGTGGCTGGAGATTGGCACATCCATGTATCTATTCTTCAGAATCTGTGGACCCCGTTAGACTCTGGGTCTCACATCTGCTTAATTGGTCCTGGCCTTAGTGGTCTCAACTGTAAAATGGGAACAATAAACCCTGCCATACTTGTCTCAAAACAGAATGAGAAGATCAAGTGAGAAGGCACATCTGAATGTGCCTGATAAATAAGTTAAGTCTCAGGCTGCAGATAAAAAGAGGATGATTAAAAAAACTGCCTCTTCCTTCTCACAGAGTACCCTATCCCTTCTGGTCCTCTAGCCAGCTGCTTCCTCAGTATCTTTGTTTGCAGAAGTGTCTAACCTGAGCTCTAGATCACCCAGGGTGGATTAGGTTGGGTTGTGGCCACAGGGTGTTGAGATGAGAGGAATGCACTTATAACCCTTTGCTAAGCACCACCCCTTCGGACCTCCCCTGTGGTCCAGTGGTTAAGAATTCGCCTGCCAATGCAGGGGACACAAGTTTGATCGCCGCTCTGCGAAGATTCCAAATACTGTGGGACAACTAAACTCATGTGCCGCAACTACTGAGCCCACTCTCTAGAGCCCGTGCTCCGCAACAAGAGAAGCCATTGCAATGAGGAGCCTGTGCACTGCAACTAGAGAGAGACTGCGCGCAGCAGTGAAGACCCAGCACAGCCAAAAATAAGATTTAATTCAGAAGCAAAAAGAACCACCTGTGAGAAATGGTAGGCAGCTTTGAATTTGGGTTGTTACTCTGGTTCGCATCAACCATTCAGCAAAATTGCAATATCTATGTGCCGTGCTGTGGCAACAGACAAGTGCCTGTCCCAAGGAGTTTGCAGTTTATATGCCTGTATACAAGATGGCCATTGGCTCTATTGCTTCCATCAGCCTCAGTCCCCTGCACCGGGAAGTACTTAGTCCAGCCAGGTACCAGCACCAATTTAATTCCCCTAATGAGGAGCTTTTTAGACCACCTCTAGGGGCTCTTTCACTCTGGTCAGCTACTTCCTAGAATTTTTATTTACCTGGGAAAGTTGGTCCTGCCTATGGTCTTAACTCCTTTTCTTCCCCAGTTTAGAGAACCACGTGCCACCACTTCTAACCTTGCCTCCTTTTGTATGGGGGGAGGGTATGATAGACAGGTGTCAAGTTTGGAGGAACTGAATGGTACAGTGAGGGGGCTTATGAGGAAGATGTCAGGGGAGGGAAGACGGTTGGGAGGATTGAAGAGAGGAAGGGGGAAGGGAAAGAAGATGTGGTACATATTTACAGTGAAATATTACTCAGCCATAAAAACAAACAAAATTGAGTTAATTGTAGAGATGGGATGGATCTAGAGTCTGTAATACAGTGTGAAGTAAGTCAGAAAGAGAAAACAAATATCATACATTAATGCATATAAGGGGAATCTAGAAAAATGGTACAGATGAACCTATTTGCAGGGCAGGAATAGAGACGTAGACATAGAGAATAGACATTTAAACACAGAGGGAAGGGGAGGGTGGGATGGATTGGGGGGTTAGGTCTGACATACACACTACCATGTGTAAAACAGACAGCTGGTGGGACACTGCTGTCCCACCAGGGAGCTCAGCTTGATGCTCTGGGATGACCGAGAGGAGTGAAATGGGGGCTGGGTGGGAGGGAGGTCCAAGACAGAGGGGATGTATGTATACATACAGCTGATTACTTCGTTGTACAGCAGAAATTAACACAACATTGTAAAGCAATTATACCCCAATTTAAAAAAAAAAGGAAGGGTGAAGGAAGCTGTCTATTAGTATCTGAAACCGACATATAACACTGTGACAGTTATTCATTTATTACCTCTCAGAAAAAAAAGTCACTCTTTTGGCCTGCTCTATGAAAATGGAGCTGGACCCTAGAACTACTTTTTCTTGGCCAGCTGGCATCTTACTAAGTTTTATTAGTAGAGAGCTGGGGAAACATTGCAGGAAGAAAGGGCTTTGCTTTTGGGTTCCCACTGTGCATAGCAGCCAGCAGCACCCAGTGACCAGAAACTTCCCCTGGGACACCCCTGGGGTAGTTTGTAGTGGAGTGCCTCTGTAAGACACTTTCCCATGAACAGTTTTCCCTGGTACCCTAGAGGGAAGATTTCCAGTAAGTTCCACCAGAGTGGCACTCCAGTGACTTCTGTGTTCTCTCTAAAAATTTCTGGATCTCCAGGCTTCCCTGGTGCAGGGAATGTGGGTTTGATCCCTGATCAGGGAAGATCCCACATGCCGAGGGATAACAAAGCCCATCCGCCACAACTATTGAGGCTGCACACCCTACAGCCTAGGCTCGACAACAAGAGAAGCCACCACGATAAGAAACCAGAACACTGCAACAAGAGAGTGGTCCCCACTGCAACTAGAGAAAGCTGGCATGCAGCAGTGAAGACCCAATGCAGCCATAGATAGAAAAATATTTTTCAAAATCCTGGATCTCAGCCCCTGGGAGGTCCAAATAGAGGCTCTTTCTTGGGTGTAATATCTCCAGCTGAGGGACAATGGCTGCTCTTAAAAAAAATTATTTATGTATTTACTTGGCTATGTCGGGTCTTAGTTGCCATGCTTGGCTTCTCTTTAGTTGTGGTATGCCAGCTCTGAGGTGCTTGGGCTCAGTAGTTGTGCATGAACTTAGTTGTTCAGCAGCATGTGGGATCTTGGTTCCATGACCAGGATCAAACCCGAGTCCATTGCCTTGGAGGGCAGACTCTTAATTACTGAATCACCAGGGAAGTCCTAGTGGCTGCTCTCAGATCCACTCTTCCTGTATTCTTTAGGATTCTCTTTACATCTTACTATCTCTAGTGGGCAGAATTGTGTCCTTCAAAAAGATATGTTCAAGAGACTTCCCTGTTGGTTCAGTGGCTAAGACTCTGAACTCTCAATGCAGGGACCGTGGCTTCAGTCCCTGGTCAGGGAACTAGATCCCACGTGCCCTAACTAAAGATCCTATGTGCTGCAACTAAAAGATCCCACGAGCTGAGATTAAGATCTAGCGCTGCCAAATGACCCCTAGTTCCTTTGACTGTGACCTTGTTTGGAAATAGAGTCTTTGCAGATATAATCAATGAGGTCATACTGGATTTGGGGCAGGGGGAAGGGCTCACTCCAGTGACTGGTGTCCTTGTAAGAAGAAGGAAATTTGAACAGAGATACACAGAAAGGAGAAGGTCATGTAAAGATACACAGAAAGACATGTAGGAAGAATGCCATATGGTAACAGAGACAGACTGGAGTGATGCATCTACAAATCCAAGAAAGGCCAGAGATTGCCAGCAAACACTGAAGCTAGGAAGAGGCAAGGAAAGAGTCTACTTAGGATCTCAAAGGGGTATGGCCCTGCTGATGCCTTGATTTCAGAATTCTAGTCTCCAGAACTAGAAGAGAATAGATTTGTATTGTCTTTTTAAAATTTTATTTATTTAGTTTTAGTTTTGGCTGCACTGGATCTTCATTGCTGCCCACAGGCTTTCTCTAGTTGTGGAGAGCGAGGGCTAGTCTTTAGTTGTGATGCGAGAGCTTCTCATTGCAGTGACTTTTCTTGTTGGGGAGCACGGGCTGTAGAACACACAGGCTTCAGTAGTTATGGCACACGGGCTTAGTTGCCCCATAGCATGTGGAGTATTTCTGGACCAGGGATCAAACCCATGTCCCCTGCACTGGCAGGCGGATTCTTAACCACTGGACCACCAGGAAAGTCCTTGTGTTGTCTTAAGGCACTCCGTTTGTGGTAATTTGTCATGGCAGCCCTAGGAAACATATGTAATCCAATCCCTCATTTCTCTAACTCCCTTTTATAGTTGGGGCTTCCCTTGTGGCTCAGCTGGTGAAGAATCCACCTGCAATGCAGGAGACCTGGGTTCACTCCATCCGTGGACTGGGAAGATCCTTGGAGAAGGGAAAGAATACCCACTCCAGTTTTCTGGCCTAGAGAATTCCTTGGTGTTGCAAAGAGTCGGACACGACTAATGACTTTCACTTCACTTTTATAGTTGATTTTCTTTCTTTTTTTTTTTTTCCTCCTTTGGCTGTGTAGAATCTCAGTTCCCTGACCAGGGGTTGAACCTGGGCCACAGCTGTGAAAGCCCAGAATTCTAACAACTAGGCAACCAAGGAATTCCTGATAATTAATTCATCCTTGTTGAAATTGCTGTGTGGATTCTCTCTCCCAATTGCACCCAGACGTGCACCATCACCAACAAAAATACCAGTGTTTTAGTACTAAAGAAAGTGGAATATCCGAATCTTGAAAGTTCCTACTGCAATTAATATGAAAATATTTCAGAGAGTAGGCCATTTTTGAGAGAGGTTTAAAATCTTCATTGCAGACATATTCCTTAAAGCCTTTTTTAATACCCCTATCACACCTGAAAAAGAATAAAAAATGAGAACAGATGGTGCCTGTGAGGAAGCTGACTCAACCAAAGTGGAGGATGTTGGGCTGGACAGCTGCCTGTTGTCTCAAGGGCATTCCTGGCATCCTGTGGTTTTAGGTGACAGCCAGCTCTAGACAACACTCAGAATACAAGTCTAGAAATGGGTGCACCTAATATAGGTGGGAAGGCAGAGAGATAGTGGTATCAGTGGCAGTGCTGGGGCAGGGAGGTCCATGACACGCAGAAAACACATTCACAGGGACTTCCCTGGTGGTCCAGTGGCTAAGACTCCATGCTTCCAATGTAGAGGGCTTGGGTTCATTCCCTGGTCAGGGAACTAGATCCCATATGGTGCAACTAAGAGTTTGCATGCCAAAATGAAGATCAAAGCCCACAACTAAGACCCAGTGCAGCCAAATAAATAAGTAAATATTGAAAAAAAAAAAAACAAACCACACTCATATGCCAAGACCTTTGCCTAGAGAAAGAGGCCTAGGTGAAGGAGGCAAGGGCCCAGGCTGGTCAAGAAGGCTCTAAATATGGGATGATGTGTCCATCTATTTGTTCAACACATTTTAAAAACTCAAACCACATGCCAGACACACAAAAAAATACTATGGCAAGCAACACAATGAGAGTCCTTGTCCACAGAGAGACAAGCAAACAGAATGGTGCAGTGACATAAATGCTAAACTCAGCTTATATACAGATTCCCAAAAAGGACATAAGCAGAGCTAGAAAAATTCTCAGAAAAAGTGATGAATCATCTAAGAACTGAAGGAAAAGGGTTTGGGGGAGGAGAAGATTGTGCGTGGGTCAGTACAACCATGCAGAGGAGCAGAGGGTAAAACTCAGGGTGTCAGCCTTCCAGAACTAATGCACACGGGCTTCCCTGGCAGTCCAGTGGTTAAGAATCTGCCTGCCAGTGCCAGGGACACAGGTTTGATCCCTGGTCCAGGAAGATCCCACATGCTGAGGACCCACTAAGCCCACGTGCCACAACTACTGAACCCCAGTTCTAAAGCCCGAGCTCTGCAACAAGAGAAGCCACTGCAATGAGAAGCCTGTGCACCACAATAAACCTCATAACCCTGGTTCATTTGGCAACTGGAGAAAGTCTGCATAGGGCAATGAAGAAGCAACACAGACAAAAATAGCATACATAAATCTTTTAAAAATATAAATGTATAAAAAATGTCTTAAAAAGAACAAATGCACACCTTTTAGAATAAATGTGTTGAATATATGCTCCTTTTACTATGATGAAATAAATGAGTAGAGAAATAACCCATCTACAATCCTATTTTCTGAAAACCACTGTAACCCTTAATACAATTTAAAGGACAAAGTCATTAACTTAAAAATACGTATCCAGTGGTAACCTATACGTAACTTAGAATAAAAATTACAGCTATAGGCAACAATGAGTGAATTTTGAAGCAAAAGAAGCCAGATGTTAAAATGTGTGTGTGTGTGTGTACAAAATGATTCCATTTGTATTATGCTCGAAAAAAGGCAAAACTAATCTGTAATGTTAGAAACTGGACTCTTCTGGGAAGAGTGGTGACTAGAAGGTGCATAAGAGGTTTCTAGGCAATGCTTTGGTTTCTTGATATGGATACTGGTTGTGTGGGTGTGTTCATTTTATGAAAATTCATTGAACTTACACTTAAGATTTGTGCACCTTTGTGTATATTATGCTTTAAAATTTTTTAATGTATATCTCAATATGTAAATGCTTGGGGTAAAGCTTTGCCAAAGGATTTAGTGAAGTGTTCATATAGAAATATGCTTGCACC